GCAAATTGTTTCTAAAAATGTTGGTTAGATAGCCTCCTGAGGAGATACCATCACTGCTTAAGAATGGGGTGCTACTACTATTAGGAAACAGCACACAACACAGACCTTTGCTAAACACAGAAAGCTGTTGCATGCTTGTGCATAATGTATTTATTTATTCTCGTCCTCATAGTTCCCAAAATAACTTGCTTGGGAGTTTAGCTTCAGCCCTTTTCATCTGTGTATTTTTTAAAAAGATAGGTAAAATGAATATAGCACAGGCCTGGCATTCAGCTAAAAGTAGTTTTGGCTTTTTAACAGCCACCACACAGGCAGTGGCAATGCAAGCATCCTCTGTGCAAAACCTGTTAGGGACCAGGAATGTTGTTCAGTTTTCAGTCAGAAAATCTTGATGCTCAGTTGGAGCTTGGGCTGCAGGCTGAGGAAGCTGTTGTGAGGGCCAGCTGCAACACCGCTTTCTAGGACATTGAGAGATGGGCAGTAGGACTGGCCTGAGAACAACGTAATCAAAACCATGGTTGTATCCAGCACAGATACCTGGAATTGTGTCAGCACCCATGTTCTGACTGTCACTTTTTGTTTGTTTATATTGAGCCTTAGTGTGCATTAAACTACTAACTGGCTGAGGAGTTGTTCAGTCTAGAAGCAAGCTGTCAATGGCTGGTGCTGATATTTGTCTCATCACTACATTAATATAATAGGATGCAGCCATGCCTCTTAATACCCCAGCTCACTTTGTTCCCTGAAGTCAAACAGATCAGCAGTGAAAGAAGAGCTCTCCAAGGAAATTCAAGTGCTGCAAGAGATGACACTAGCTACCTGTACACTACCCACCACCCCCAAGTGGCCTGTTATGAATGATCCACCTTCGTGTGATCTCGTTACTATGAGCAGAGCCACTCAGGCAAAGCATCGCAGGTGAAATGCTCCCTGTACAGTACAGCACAGCGTTTTCCTAACTTTGATTAAGGACAGGCTTTTGCCCAGAGGCTGGGAGCTAAGAAGCTTGGTTAATCTGAACCATGATTTTAGCACTCAGGTGCAGCCTAACAGCCAGGAACACGTGAATGATTCAATCTTTCAGTTAGTCTCTATCACGTACTTTTTTATGTGGCCACCACACTACACACAGTCTCACACTCCCTGTCCAGTGCAGCTTAGTGAGAATCACTTATAACCGTGTCCTTTTGTTTAATTCAAGCATCTTTGGTAATGGGCCTTTCCCATTTCCATCAGTTCCCAGTGGTGCACAGAGCCTGGCACACGACTCCGTGTGTACACACGCAGGCGCTGGCACGCGAGTCCATGTGTGTGCGTGTGTGCTGTCAGATGTGCTGTGCTGCAGCTGCAGAATTAGAGCAAAAAAATGTTGATGGTACAAAGCGTTCCAACTGACTTCCTTTTTTTTAGGGCGAGGCTTAGCATCCACGCAGTTAGTTTAACACTGAGGGACAAGGGCAGGGCTGGAGGGAGCAGATGCTTCAGAACACGGTTAGCAGAATGCTGGGTTCAAAAAGAAAGTTTCCCACAGAAAACTCTGTTCATGTTCACTTCCTGTCAGCTTGCCATTGTCGGAGGAGCTGATGTGTAAACCCAACACAAAACAGGATGTTGGCTTTTAGAGTTGATTGATCTTTGAAATGTAAGTGCTTTTTTTCAGTGGTTACCCTATCCCCTTTTATTCAGTTGATAATTGAGTTGCTTGAGTGCAGACAGGAAAGGTTGAGACCCCATTTTCAGGGGGTCAAAACCTAACCTGGTAACAGTTGCTGGTTAATAATATGAATTCTGGAAAATTATGTGGACAGCAGCAGCCAAATCCAGACAGATAGGTGGACAGACAACCCCAGATACTGGCACTGACAGGCGAGCTCTACTAAACTCAAAACAAATGCTTTAACAAAGTACAGAGATTCGATCTGTCTTGCAGGGACCCACAGCTCCCTCCATCCATAGCTCATCCACCACCCTGACAAACATACCTTCCCAGATTCGGCACCCACGCAGACACACACAAATGAGATTGCTCTGTGGACACATATAATCTGAGTCAAAGTTTCAGATGCCCCCAAAAGCTTTCTTTCCCGGGTGGTCTCTGGACAAAGGATTGCTGTGTCCCTGCATCTCCTGTTGACCCAGCACCCTATAGAGGCCCCATTGTCCATACTTCCTAGCCAAAATGCAAGAGGCCAGCAAATACTACACATGGTGTTTCTGAGCATGGCAGAAGTAGTTATGCTACTTCTTTTGCAGGCACGCCAGCATGAAGGATTACCTCGCACCTCTCCCCCACATGCTACCCATAGCAGAATCACCAGTCATTTGGCCTGAAGTGAACTTGGGTGTTTTGGCCTCGCTTGCCTTGAAAAGAATCATCTGGAAAGCTGCAAAATCTAGGGTTCCAAAAGCACAACATTTTCTCACTCACATGAAATTTACCCCTAGTGTCTGTTTTAATGGCGCTTGTGATTGCATTTTTTTCCTCCTGAGCAGAACAGATGTAGAAATTTTCCTTTGCATATATGAAGAGGTTAGTCTCATTAACACTGCTATATCCCAGAAGGTCTGGAAACAGAGAAACACACAGAGATGCAGAGTCACACTCTGAAATATCTCACATTCATACTTGCACATACACATCATGTAAAACACCCAGTTCCTCAGTATAACCTCCCTTTAATAATGTTTGTCACAAAGTTCCTGCAGTTAAAGCACGTGGGTTGTTTGTTTCAGATTTTCTAGTGTTTTTCTGTCCAGAAATAAGAAAGTCTGGAGCAAATCTACACCTCGTGTCTTCCTGTCTAGAAAAAAAAAAAAAAACCAAAACCAAACATACACTGTATTTTTGTGTGTTCTCTCCTTACTCCTTCAGGAAAAAAAATTTAGCCTTAATAAACTGGGTACTGTGTACCATGCTCAGAGAAATGGCATTTGGGAATCCTGCTGGCAGAAAATATTTGCCTTGTGGCAACTTCCATTGGAGCAAAAATAAATAGAGTGAAGAATTGTGGTGGGGCAGCTGCAACTACCTTTGCTTTATTAGTATGGGTAAAGTGATACTATCTCCATCGAGCAGTTTCCTTTTCTGTAAACCTAAGCAAACAGTTTCCTCTGCAGAGTACAAACCCTGAAAGCAGAAAGAAAATACTGAAATAGACCCTGAGCAGCATGCGGCAACCATTGGAGGTATGTGATTTTGACGGTCTGTTACATGTCAGACATCTTGAAAATGACACTTGTGACCAATGCCCACAGTGAAATCCCAGAGCATGAAATCCTCCTTCTGTCCCGACAGCAGGCAAAGCACAGGCAGCCAAAGCATCCTGCCCTCCCCACCTCACCCTGCTTCTCATCAGTTCCGTTCCTATCCCCTCTCCCATTGTCGGGACTTCAAGAAATCAATAGGATTTCTGATCAAGAAGGAATCTCATTTTTATATTTCTTTTAGATTTTAGCCTGTTTTCTTATAGTTGCAGCATCTTCTGGTTGCTTACAGTAGAGGGGTTTCAACTCATCCAGTGTTTCAGCAACAGAAGATAAATTAGTTCTCTTGCCCAATCTCCAGATTGCAGCAACTCAGACTATCATTCTTTTGGCTAAGGACTGAGTAGCCATTGTATCTTGAACTTGGGAGATAATGAAATCATTATTTAAATCTGCTAATCCCACAGGAGCCCTACAGCATTCAGTACAGCAACAGTTAACTATACTGTAAGAACAACTATGTCAAGACGATTTATTGGTAACAATAATCTGCGATATCATGATGGTCACATTTAATTCCATTCTCCATAGCCAGCAGGGACTTGTGAAGCACTGTGAAGCAAAAGTATGCGTCCCTTTCAGAAAAGATGCTTTAGCCCTCTTCTGCCCCTGAAGTATCATCCTAAAATGACATATTGTGTCACTTTGCAGCTGCATGCAAGGCAAGGAAGTCAGCAGAAGACAAAGGGAGTGTTTCCAAATTCCTCTGCACCACCCTACTCCCAAGAGGTGGGGACTGAAATTCTTGAGAAGCAGCATATGCAAACAGTTGCTAGAAGAGATGTCTAGTTTACACCACTGTGATTTGAACGGAAAAGGAAACTGTAGCAAAACATTCCTGAGGCTTATTTTTTCCCATCTGAATTTTTCTACCACCACGGAAGCTTCTAATTTCCAGTGCATGAGTCTGTCCTTCCCTGGGAAGGGAGAGAAGAATATCCTGCACCTTCTTACCTGGTAGCGTGAGACACAAGCTCAGGGTGGAAGGAGCTAGTCCTGTTTTACAACTAGCCAGTGTCACCTTGCATGGAGTCCCTCTGCTTGTGCCCACATCTGTGCAGTGCCCATCACCGTGGAGCCCTGATATCTACTTGTGGAATCACCCAGCAGTGTGGCAGTACTGCTGAGATTATTGTCATCCCTGGGAGTCCCAGCCGTGTACTGGAACACCAAAGCCCTCAATTCTGTTAAATGCAATCATCACCCTCACTCTGCTCCTCTTCTGCTCCTCTAACTACTCTAAAGATAGTCCACTGCTGATTGAAATTACATAAAAGTGTGAAGGAAGAGAAAAGGGAAGCTGCAGGTAGAGGAAAAAAGATCCTCCTTACAAACAAACAGCAAGGAAGAGACCCTGATGACTTGGAGAGGGAAGAGTGGACAGGGGAGAGATCCAGGCAGAGACACCGGGAGAACAACTGCAAGCAACAAATAGGGGCAGTACAGGGCAGGGGAGGAAAAAAAAATAAGGTGGTAGAAAATATGAAGGGGAGAAAGAAAGGAAGGGACAAAATGCACATATGTTGTCCCCAAGTTTGGGCACAGCAGCAGAGTTTGCTGCTTGTTGTCTCATGAGCCCAGCACTCCGGGAGGGACAGTATCTGTTTAGATTTGTGTCTAAATTTAAACTCTGATTGCCTTGCCTCCCCCTCCTCTCCCCTCCCTCCCTTCCTCTCACCCACCCGCCCTTCTTCCTTGTTCGTAGTGCAGGGCCACTCGCTGGGCTCTGTCAGTTTTCAAGCTGAGCAGGAGCTCGGATATTACATACCCTCCACAGAAGCGCGATTTTGCTCTGGCTTGGCTGAAGTTTTCCCACAGATAAGAGGGAAAGGGGTGGGGAAGCAAGATTGCCCCGAGGACACCTCTCTCTTGCAGGACATGGAGGTAATGAAAACTTTTATTTCCACTAGCTTGTGACTGGCTCCTCGATCTGCATTAGCTCCACCTTGCAAAGCAATTTCTCACTCAAGGCAGATCAAAATATGAAAAATATCGCTGGGGTTTAGATAAATGTCTCTCCCCTGCACCCCAGCCCCCACCACGCACCTCAGAATATTTTGCAGGTTTTAGTCTAGATTTGGAATGTAGTGGGATGGTGTGGGGAGAAATTACCTCTGTGAAAAGGGAATGAGGAAGGACTGCCATTTACTTTTTTAGCCTCTGAGGTGGGAGAGTTAAATTTTAAAAGGCATCATTTAGAAAGGAGGTTTTAAAAATCCTGTAAAAATGGGGACATAAGGAGATGTGAACAAACGATACAGGATTAGCGGGCTCCTTGGGATTGATGCCTACCCAACCCATGCAGCAGCACCGTGATTTGGACCCGAAGTGGTGTGTCCCCCCTGTTCCACATGGGTTGGGCTGTCTCACCTTCATTATCGATAGAGCATTATGATTCAGGAAAGAGGACCTGAGAACCGTTGCTTCAGGAAGGTAAATGAGTAGCACACCCCCAGATGGTTTCCTGTGCCTTTTTCTCTATGCTGCATATCCCAAGCTTCAGGAGAGGCAGAGCTCATGTCTCTGGGTGGGCACACAGCTGGTGGACCCGGGCGTAGAAGCAGGAGTCAGGATTCCCAGGCATTTACATCCAAGCCTTCTCCTGTGTAGCACCCTCTTGGGCAAGGCAGTTTACCTCTCCTTGCCTCTTTTCCCATTCATACGAAACGGGAGCAATGGTGCTTGCTTTGTTCACGTCAGACCAGATTCACTAGCTTTTCAAACAGTGTTTTAAGTGGCAGGAAAAAAAATATTTATTTTTAGGAGGGGCACGGGAGATAGAAAGGCGATTACAACATTGGCAAAACCTCAAATGACGAAAGAGGTATTTCAGCTAAATACTTTTGGTATTTCAGCTAAACACAGATCCTACTAAATACTTTATGTTATCTTCTCACAGAGCTTTTTCTGTGTTGGTGCAGCCCCAACAGCCGGGGACACGCAGCAAAGCCAGGGAACAGTGTGCTTGCGGCACTACTACAATTTTTCTTTGAAGATTTCCAGCACATAGCTCTGCTGGGCAGTTCTGATAATGCCCAGGTGCTAACATCGCAGTCCTTGTTATCTGTGCTGGCCTGCCCTACAGGCAAGGGTAAAGATCAGACATGTTCATTGCAAGAAATGTCCTCAACAGACTATCTGACGATATTTTGGTGTGGAGAAGGACCAAGCAGCGATTAAACCAACTCAGCACAAACTACCTGTGGCATGACAAATATATAGCGTTATAAGAGTTTTTAAGTTTGGCAGAGCCTGGATCAGTACCTGTTAAAGGTTGTTTTATTCTTTTTCACTATACAGTGTCCTGTAATGTCTCAGAGGGGAAAGGGAGGTTGAGCTCTTAATTTAACTGCTGTGCACAGGAAGCCACATATGAAGCAAAGACTAACTTAGGGCTAAAGCAGATATTTTGTCATGTTGAGGACACTCTTGTCCACCCCCTCTCCTCTCCACACACAGAGTGCTGCACCCTTCGCATACTTTCGGTTGTCTGCTACCGCGGTGTTTGAGAGTAGAAAGGGGCACACCTGCCATTTCCTTCTGGGAGACATGTGTGACACATACGGCAGGTCTGACCGTCAGGAAGTTTCTCTGAAGTATTTAACCTAAGAGTTTCCTGCTCTTGATTCTGTCTCTTTATCTCTATTTCCCACTCTTTCCCCATGTTACTTTGTTTTCTGATCATTTGTAGATTGCTGCATCCATTCTTATTTTTAAAACATCTCAACTCCCAAGACATTTTTCAAGTAGTGCACTTGGTTTTCCCTTCCTGCCCTAACCCTCAAAAAAAGTGGTTAATATCTCAAAGGTAAGAAGTTATTAGACCAAAATAGAGCCAAGAGCAAAGACTTGAGTTCCCACCTGTGAGTTCTCTCCTCTGTCTCTTCCTGAGAGCTTTTCACAGGCAGCATGAGCAGGACCCAGAGACTTGCTACAGTCTTTTGCGTTAAAAACAGATTTAATGGTCCTGTGCAAGAGGAACTAGAAGTTCTGTCATTTCCCCATTTGCTTCGTCAGTGGCAGGCAGAGCTGGTCTGTGCTTTCCTGCTGGCATAACTGGCAAGCTCTTTGCTCTAGTGGGACACATGAGGATTACCAGCATTAGGGAAAAAAGGGCAGAGGGCTGACCTAGACAGCTGATTTCCATCACGTCTTTGGCAGAAGACCCTGTTGTTGAAAAACCCACTGTGGAAGCAAGGTAGTTGGGATTGCTTTCTTAGACTGGTTAGTGTGGGTTTGTGACTCCTTTTAAGGGCCAGTACCTACAGTCTTAGCCATTCTGCTGTCAGGAAGGTGCCACATTGGAAGCAGTAACTGTAACTATTTAAGATCTCGAAGAGGGAGAAAAAGGCAGCAAAACCCTATTCTTGCAGTTCATGTGATTTTGTGTCTGCTAATCTTCAGGATTGGTTGGTTTTGTTTTTTTTTTTTTGTTTTTTTTGTTTTGTTTTTTGTGAAGGCCAACTTTTTGATGCAAGATAGATTTGAGAATCAGTTTTCTTTCCAGTGTTATAACTGATGAAAGGAACTCAAAATCTTGAAGCTTACATCACAGACTGTTAAACATGAGGAGTTAATATCAAAAATGTGTAAAGCTGGCACAGATGAAAGCTAAGCCACTTGTAAAAAATCAGTCACTAAACGTTCTTTGCACTCACAGTACAAAAAGGATCAAAATTATTGTGTTGGTTTGTTAGTTTACACCTTCAGAGTTGGTGTAAGATGGCTAATTCCCATAGCTGTACCAAACTTTGCTACGAGTGTTGTGAGTTAAGGCATCCACCAAAAGTGCTTGTGGCTTTCTGCAGCCCATATTCAACAGCAGTCATGGCATTCCTCTTCCAGCCTCTCTGTAGGAGCTTGGGAGCATGGAGACATTTGAACTTTGTTTGCACAGCAAGGGGAAGCAATCCAAGATGGAGTTTCACTTTGATGGCTCCCTATGGTACGATGGGTTCCCCAAGCTGTGAAGGTGCAGCAACCAGATTTATTTTGGGAAGGCTCCCCTCTTCTTCTTTTTGCCTACCAACAGATTTCATTTCTTTCTGTGACATCTCCATTCCCCTGTCTCTTTTCTGCAACTAGCTCCTGGTAGATCTTCACTTTGCCTGGTGCTACACCAGCTCCGGAGAGGGAGAGCTTTTCCAGGGCTGAGAGCAGTTCTCTGCTCACTTCCCCACTTCCCCTCTGGGCAACCTACTGGACATGGCACCACCTCCAGGCCCTGTTCTCTCTCTACACCAAAATGCCCTCATCTGGGACATTTGGGGAGTGATGGGGCCACTGATCTTTTCAGTAGAGCTCCCTCCTGTGTCAGGTGAGGATACCACAAAGAGGCCCCAGTCCTGCCCCACTCCTCTAGCGAGCAGCAGAGCAGCATGGAGAAAATTCCTCTGAGTCCTCTGTTCCCCATCTCACTGGGAGACTGCAGAAACCCCTTGGGGTTCAAACACGTCCCCTACCTCAAGAGGCAAGGTCACAAGCCATGGCTTCCTTTGTGCTGTGGTCAGTGGGACATCACGACTGAGCACATTTCCAGTTCCAGTATCCCAACTGCTGCATCCTTCCAGGAGCCATGGGGAACAATGCCCTTGCCCAAACTACAGGGCAGCTTGCTTTCAGCAGAGGCACTCACCTTGTCCCTAGGGAAACTGCACTAAGAATATGTGACCTGTCAGTTCCAAGAGGACTGAAGTGGAGGGGATGGAGGGAAGGGTACCTGGTACTGTGCAGACAAGGGAGTTGAAATTTGTAACCGTTATGGTCCTTGGAGCAGCAGGACAGTAAGCCACACAGAGGTGAGCTGGGCTGAGCGACATCTTTGCCCACCCTTGCAGCTATGGAGCCAAGATTACGTACAGGCATTACGCCATGGTTAGCTCTGCCAGGAAACAATTTCCCTTTCTCCGGAAGCTCTGCTGCTTGGCTTTCACTCCAAAAAGTTAAAACATTCGTTTTCCACTCTTCTTTTTTCTTTTTGCTTAACAGAACATTTTAACCTCAAATACACTTGTTTCAGTGCTTCCTCCCAAACTCATCAAAATGACACTTCACACAGAGTGTCTGTGTAGATAAATGGAGAGTATTTAGATATACTGGGACAGCTAGCATGTGACCCCATTTTACTCCTCAGGTCTGGGCAGATTCAGGACCTGCCTGACAGCATGTCTACAGCAGAGGACCCTGGAAAGGATCGGGTTTGCCAGTCTTCCACATCCCAGTGACTGGATGAGGCCTCCCTCTTGAAGGACAGAAAGGAACAAAACCAAACCCTATGGGCTGCGCTGTGACCCTTTCTTGTACCTCGTGGAGACTCCAGAGTAAATGGTTTGCGGAATTAAAGCTTTTCCTGTGTCACTGGAGAGGGATGATTCTTCTGAACCCCTCCTCTCCTTCACTCCCCATTTTAATTTTTGGTCACCTGGGTATCCCAGGTCATGGTGATAGCCTTTTGGAAAAGCCTTCTTTCCTGTACTTCACAGTCTAACTGGCAGGGCGCCTTACTGTTGAGCAGCATATTATGCATACCTTCTCATACATTCCCAGGATCTGCTTATCTGAAGAACAGGGGAAAACGTCAGCATTGCTTTATCGATAGGCGCTGCTAGGAAACTCTTCTGGTTTTTGTCATGGAAATGACCAAGCCCATACAAACTAGGGGTGGTTTTCCTTCCTGTTTCCATGTGGTTGGTTAACAGTTGTAGGTGGTTTTCCTAAAACAGCAACTCTACAGCCTGAATTTGGGATCTGAGTTGGCAGCTGTACCCAGCAGTGAGAGGACATGTTTGGAAGACCTGTGTATTTTATTGGTGAAGCCTTCTTGCTACCTGTAGGTGCTATAATACTGCAGAGACACAGCTTGTCTTGGTGACCTGCAGACAACT